ATCCTAGAGATGGTCCTTTTAGATACTTTTCTTCAGCTGCCTCGTAATCTAATCCATCAACACCAGAAATTGAACAAATGATTGCTTCTGGCAGAAGAACTTCCAGGATAAATTTAACTTTATCATTTCTTATCAGAGCCAGCATTCTTTCGTCTATTTGACTGTAAATTCCTTGTAAATATTTCACCACCTCATCCAACTGATCTTCATCCTCTAAGTATGTTTCAATACAGGGAGTGAACTCCTTTGCGTTCAAAAATGATTTCAGCCACCTGGACTTTTTTGTGCCCTTTAAAATGGCAAGAAGATGGTTCTCGGTTCCTTTTTCATTCACAATAAAGTCCACCAGGTTCCTATTGGCTCGGTCCCGGACAGTTTTCATTCGGTCAGGGAGAATTTTCTGGAAGGACATTTTCTTGGTCTTGGAAGTCATGGCCATTGGTTCCCTAGAATCTTCATTATGCAGTTTTGGAAATAAGTCCCTGAAGGTATCCTGTCTAATCGTTTTCCGAATTGGATAACTGATGTCAGCAGCATAATACTCAAAGAAAGAGCCTGCAAAAGAACCACAACCTAATCTAACTCTGTAGTCACAAATCAGTGAGATGCACCAGTCAATACTTTCTTTGTAATCTTCCCTGGCTTTATCTACTAGTTCTTGTTTCTCTTTACAATCAAATTTCTTTAATCTTCTAAAAGACACTCTAATGCCTCTCTTTTCAGGATTCATGCTTGACTCAACAAAAAGCACACTTGCTTTTTTGTCTTTTCGCCTGATGTTTTTAACCACTGCTGGCCAAAATGGATATTTTTGATATTTAAACCAGACTATCATTCCTATTTCAAATGAATGCGGCTCATAATGAAAAACTATGCGTGGAAGTTCTTCATCTTCCTCATCATCATCTAATACAGAAGCATCAACAGAATTTAGATGCACTGACTTGTCAGAAGCTTGAAGTTCTTCCCCAAGCTCCTCAAAATCCAGTCTCTGAAGATTTCTTTCATTATTCACAAGGTGTGAATAATCCAGGATGCGGTTAGAGGCACTAAATGAAACCTGAGATTCCCATGAACGACACCTGGAGAATGCTGAAGCATCGGTCTCTGATTCTGTGGAGGGTTGATTCTGGCTAGTATCTGAGCATGGATTCGAGGGACCCTCTCCAGGATCTTCAATATTCTCTGAGAAAGTAGAGTGTTCAGAGGAAATAGCCAGGGTCTCTGGGCAGATGTCCTCTGGCTCCTCTTTCACAGCTTTGGGCACAATGAAGAAATCTGACGACCAAATTGGAGTGAATTTCTCATCTTTAACACATTCATCCTCCTCTTTGACCACGGAATGCAAAAGCATAACTGTTGACACGTCAATCTTTTCCTTGCTCTCCTTTTCATCTTCTTCTGAAAGTGAAGGAAAAATTTGGTACCAGCTGAAGTTTTGTGATGACTTTGTTTCCATTTCACTTGAAATAGTATTGATGGTTGTATGCACCTGTGATTTATCATCATACAGGGAACCATCACTCTCTGAAGATACTGACAGGGATGTTGGATTTTCACTTTTTTCAAGACACTTTGATATGTTTCCTTCGTTCTCCCGATACTTTTTACGAGGGGGTGAATCAGAAAGCTTTTGTGGTACATTTTGAGACAGTGAAGTGGTCTCTTCTTCATCCGAACTGCTTGCTTGATTCAAATTTGTTCTCTCATTCAGAATATCAAGTGCCACTTTTAGTGATCTTGCATAGGCTGTTTCCTCTCTAGGTAGACCACCACCCTCTGACTGTGCTGCTAGTGAGGAGGCAATGGCTTCAATTTGAAATTTATTTAGGATCTTTGTTTCCGTGCTTTCCACTTTAATTTTTTCATCTAGTGAGAGTATTTGAACTTCTAGAGAAAATGTCTTTTTTCTCTTACTGTTTGATAAAGTCTCAGATCTGGACAAAACTTTTGCTGGCCATAACTGGTCTTTCCAATTGCATAGGACATACTCAGCATCCATTGTGATTTAGATTTGTGTGATAAAAGGTTATGATCAGAGACAGGTGTCTGGTTATACTCGGCACTGTTGAGGCAGTTCCTACCAAAAACAACACTCTTACAAAAGTCTCTTTTGTCTTAGAACTACAAAATGTTTACAGCTTGAGTGTTCTGTTCTCCAGCAGAATTTCCCAAAGATGCTTGAGCCTGTTGTTTAAATGGGACAATACAGAAGATGCTGAAATAAGGGAAAGAAAAAGATGAAAAGTATCAGCAAATAAAGTTATTTTGCTAAAGTAGAAGGTGAGCAATTACAAATAGAGAAGAGATAAAATAAAGAATAATGCTTAATAGAGCATGAGATGAAGTGGAAAATGCAGCATAATGTAAGGGGAGATAAGAATTGGAGAAGTGGTTTATAATACCTCAGATTCGATAATTTATCCTTATTATTGCACATGATTATTAAGAAGTAAATCTGTGTACACGCTGGCAGAGGTGGGAAAGGTTGTGGTAGTGGGTCAGGGACTTTACGTTATCAGATAGTGTGGGATATTTGTTTCCCTAGTGTTATACCTAAGACAGTGGGGCTCTAAACATGGCATGTATCACAATCATCTAGAGGTTCTGATAAAACTAGATTTCTAGGCCCTAACCTGAGAGTTTTATTCAGAAGGTCTAGATAAGACCCAACATCTTATATTTCTAAGTTCTCAAGTGATTCTAATGCAACTTTTCCAAGAACTCCTTGAGAAGCACTGTTCTAGTGGAAAACATAGCTTTATGAGTTTTAAGCTATAAATACTTTCCTGTTCATCCAAAGCAGGCATATAAAGAAAACACGGTATATATCTCCCAGACCCAGACAAAAACACAATGATCTTGTTAAGAACATGAGCTTAGAAGGCAGTGATTCAGCATGGTTGCTATGTTTACTCACTGGAAAAGATAGTTATCAAAGATTTGATAGCCAGGTGACTGGCTAAGACCTAGGCAGAAATCTGAAGAGCTTCTTGCACAATTTCTTCATGGTGATTTAACATATGAGGTTCTGTCCCCAAACTAGAAGCTACGTCTTTTAATTACAGAATGCTGTGGCTATAGAACAGGGAGCAAAATAAATTATACCTCATCTTTTCAGCCTAACATTGTTGAAATGTGTCTTTTAATTTAAAATGCTATGGCTGCAGAGCAGGAAGAAAAATAAATTGCACCTCAGGTCCTCAACAAGTTTTTAATGTGAAATGTTTTGTGAAGTGGGAAGAGCCTTACCCAGTATCACATGAATCATGGAGTATCTGGTCCTGTGATCTAGTTGTCCTGATTCTCACTCCAAAAGGAAAAAGGCTGCCCAAAAGAAGACAGAAATTCAAAATGATGAAATGGGAAAATATGCAGAAAATTCTCTACCAAAACTTTAGAAGGCATGTCATTCTTAAACACAGTATGTAGAATCTCATCCGTGATGTACATACCATGTTCATTTTCATTCTTGTTCTTGTTTTAAATTCTCTTTGTGATACAGTTATGCTACTTGGTTCATGCTGAAATCAACTCTCTGATTAGAAGAGTGTGAGGGAGCCACAGGAGAAAAGAGAAGTAAAAATGCCTGTGTTTTCTATGAGCCAGGCTGTAGATTTTATTTGAATCCTCACATCGATCACTGTGTGGATTTTTCCTTATTTACACACATAATCTTTTCATTGGAATTTTAATAATACTCTACATGCTGTCTCATAGTCCACTAAAACAAAAATGTTTCATTATTTGGTTTACTATTTTCATAAAAATGGTTGCCTGAAGAAAATTTAAGAAACTTGGCGAACGCCATCTTGTGACCAGAATCAGAACTGCAGCCTCCCCAGGTGGTACAGGCAGGGCCTCAATCACCATAAGATCCTTTTTAAGAGAGAAGGGTAGAAACTACATTTAGGCAGTCAAGTCTTACCAGGCTTCTAGAATTTTCCGTTCTAAGCTCAAGGGTTTAGTCAATGTTTCTGGTTATAAAAACATCCAGACACATATTAAAAATTGAAAAGATGCAGAAAGATATACACAAAATAAACTCTATATAAATAATCACTATATTTTCTATATTCACAGAATATTTTTGTGTATAAATGCATATGATTTCAAACCAACATCAGATCTCAATTAAAAATATAGTTTGAACATCATTCTACATATTCTATGTGATTTTTTTATGAATTACTTTAAATGTAGTTTTTCCCAAATTTGCAACATTTTATCTCAGTATTTCCTTGATGATGTAAAACAATAAATAAATACATATTAATATTTTAAATAGAGAGCAGTAAAGCTAGCTCTTTCTCTCCAACTATACAAATGATCTTGTTAATAGTATGGCAGATATGTTTTCTCAGATTTGTCGCATGTATTGTAGTAGCATACATGTTTTAATAAGATACATATTTATTTTTAAGTGAGATCATATGATAAATGCTATACTATAATTTGCTGTTTTCACTGTATAATACTGAACAGATCTTTCAAATCACTACATGTAGAGGTTCCTGTTTCTATTCTCCAAATACATAATATTCCATTGTATGGTTACACCATACCATATCTTTTAAGAACTGTTTATAGAAGTAAACCAAATCCTTTCTCTGCCTCTCTTAAAATATATAGAAAAATGATTTTTGCTGACCATAGCCTTACCTGTAGTCTGAAAGAATGAGTTGCAAAGATACATGCAGGGCTGTAGCCAACACAGCAGCTAGGTTACACACTTGATCAGGTCCAGGAAAATGTCCACTATGGGTAAAAAACAAAGGGGGTGGGGTGTTTGCATGTATCTGCATGTCTATGAATGTTTATGTGTTTGAAATAAAATGAGTACGTTGTTTCAGCTTCATTTTTCTTTCATGATTATAAAAATAATCATGGGGAAATCTACCCTAAAGATGCTGAAGTAGGCTAAAAAATAATATTATACTAGTAACCTGACCTGTCAGAAATACTAACATGGGAGTTTACTTTCTCTGAGATTTTTTTCCAATCACATACATATATACACATATGTATGAGGAAATGTCTTCACTCAACTACATATGTATTTCCCTTTTCCATGCTCATATACAGGTGACACTTAGTTTTCTGTGTGTCAATCAATTCAAAAGAGTATTCTCCCTCATGGTATCAAATATTTTTATTCATCATTTCCTGTGTAAATTAATAAATTCTTAAAAATCTGAACAGTAACAGAATTCCAGTAATATAAATATGAAATGTCAAGTCAATAAATTAATATGAACAGCCATGCCCCACTGAAATATTAATATAGGGGCTGTAGTCTGATCACCCCTTCTTCCACTGTAGACTTTTAAAGCAGAATTCCAGTAATATAAACATGAAATGTCAAGTCAATAAATTAGCATGAACAGCCATGCTGCACTGAAATCTTAATATAGAGACTGTAATCTGATCACCCCTTCTTCCACTGTGGACTTTTAAAGCATTGGGATTAAAAAAAAGAAAAAAAAAACTCTAAAGGATTAATTCCATCAAAATACCAGCAATTCTCTCAAAACCACACACCCTTCTGACCACTCTACGACCACCACTTCTATTTTTCTTATCTTTACTCTAGGGCCCTGAGAAAATAACTAGCTTTAAGAAAGCCATTACCTTGATGCTTCTTGTCAGCTGCAGCCTCTTGAAATGCAGCCCCTCCCCCAAGGCTGGGCCGGCACAGCTCCCTTCCAAGCTTCTCAGAGAATGCTCCGCCCCCTCCCTGTGATGGGGAAGACAGAAGGCCCTCCCTGAATTAGAGGAGGGAGAATTGCCAAATTAAACAACTGAAGTGTTAAAGGGTAGAAATGTTCCTTTTTAAGGAACTTTAAAGTGAAATGGCAACAAATGTCTGTTTAATTTTCATTCAAACCCTTAGAGGTAGGTGTGGCTTCTTGATAAAAAGTGGAAGTGAACAAACAAAATGCAAACAGACTCACAGAGAACAAACTGGTGATTACCAGAGGAGAGGGAGTTGGAGGGCAGGGTGAAAAAGATGAAGGGATGAAGTAGTACAAATCAGTAGCTACAAAACAGTCACAGGGATGTGGAGTACTGCATAGAGAATATAGTCAATAACATTGTAATGGCTATGTATACTGCCAGATGGGTACTAGACTAATCAGGGGGATTACTTCATAAATTATATAAATGCCTAATGACTGTGCTGTATACTTCAACTAATTAAAAAAGGTGGTAGCAAATCACTGTATTAAAAAATAGAAATCTAATTTAAAATATTTCTTACATGCTTTTTCCTTGCCTTATCTGGAACCTTACATCTGCAGGCAAATTTAAAACCCAGCTAGTCAAGCTCCATTAAAATAGCTCACTAAGGGTCTTGATTGGGATTACACTAAAACCATACATTATTCTACGGAGAATGCCTTCTTTAAATATATT